GGGGTGATAGCATGCTAAAAATACAAACCCTTCATCACAAATGTCTAGATGTGTGTCTACCGGATGCGACTACCGATACCTTCATAAGTGTGTGTTGAAAGTGGGGTCTATGGTTTTCTCAGATCATATAGTAAACACTAGAGATATATATGTGTTAGTCAGTGGTGTAGTGGTGCCTGGAGAAGTGGGTATAATCAAATTTTGCCCCAAATATCCCAAACGGCCCACTCGGCGAAGGAAATGTGCCCTGTGTGAAAAATGATATGAGAAACAGTGACATATACTCTGAATGACCTGAAATTATGAATCCCATATTGGTCTTTCACAGTCAGGCCAACCCAAGCTGTACTGTGCTAGTAGGATAATAGTAGGCCTACTATTGAAATTGATCAATGAGGCTGTCAACTGAGTCAGAAATTCACAGGTCTCTGATTTTTTTAAATAGAAAAACAACAAAATTGGATGTTCTAAGTCCACAACAATGCTTACACCACATCAGGAAATCACTTTTGAGGTCTGGGAAAAATCTAAGAAATTTTGATTTGAGTGTAGTTACCCTTTAATTCAAGTGCAACATGCCAAGCACCTAGCACTGTTTGGTTACCGGTGTTTCTGTAGCCCACATGAGATGGAGTTTGCAAAAAAAATGGCCACTTAATTTATGCAAATAATCATGATGTCAATCTACCATGTAGGCTTAGGCTACTTTGTAGCTAGTTGACTTTTAATTTAGAAGTTTTTGGGGAAATCCTTTCCATCTACCAGAAGAAAATTAGGCCTATCCTTAGCATCACTATAGTTTTCCTGTTACTTAATTGTTTGAAACCTGAATGTTTTACTTGATATTAGCCTAAATCCGACCATAGCAATGTTGAGGGAAATATTTTATAAACAGTTCCTCATATGCGCTCTCCTGACTGTTCAACTTTCTTTCATTGTCTAGCAGCCAAATGCATTATCCTAGTCATATTAGCAACCCATGATAGTTGTTGTAGAGCTCCCCTCTTTCTACATTTCTAATGGCATTTTCCATCTCTGTCCATGAAACCGCTTTCACATGCGGTGTGCATTAGAGAACGTTTTTCCACAAATTGTATTTTGGAACATTAGGCCTACCGTCGTGTGCACATTGCTGCGCTTAAAATGTGAAGAAAAAATAAAAGTTGTTCTTAATGTCAGGGCGGTATAGAGTGTACAGTGAGGGGAAAAAAGTATTTGTTCCCCTGCTGATTTTTTACGTTTGCCCACTGACAAAGAAATGATCAGTCTATAATTTTAATGGTAGGTTTATTTGAACAGTGAGAGACAGAATAACAACAACAAAAATCCAGAAAAACGCATGTCAAAAATGTTATTAATTGATTTGCATTTTAATGAGGGAAATAAGTATTTGACCCCCTCTCAATCAGAAAGATTTCTGGCTCCCAGGTGTCTTTTATACAGGTAACGAGCTGAGATTAGGAGCACACTCTTAAAGGGAGTGCTCCTAATCTCAGCTTGTTACCTGTATAAAATACACCTGTCCACAGAAGCAATCAATCAATCAGATTCCAAACTCTCCACCATGGCCAAGACCAAAGAGCTCTCCAAGGATGTCAGGGACAAGATTGTAGACCTACACAAGGCTGGAATGGGCTACAAGACCATCGCCAAGCAGCTTGGTGAGAAGGTGACAACAGTTTGTGTTTCTTCCATTTGCGAATAATCGCACCAAGAACTGTCAATCTCCCTCGGCCTGGGGCTCCATGCAAGATCTCACCTCGTGGAGTTGCAATGATCATGAGAACGGTGAGGAATCAGCCCAGAACTACACGGGAGGATCATGTCGATGATCTCAAGGCAGCTGGGACCATAGTCACCAAGAAAACAATTGGTAACACACTACGCAGTGAAGGACTGAAATTCTGCAGCGCCCGCAAGGTCCCCCTGCTCAAGAAAGCACATATACAGGCCCGTCTGAAGTTTGCCAATGAACATCTGAATGATTCAGACGAGAACTGTGTGAAAGTGTTATGGTCAGATGAGACCAAAATCGAGCTCGTTGGCATCAACTCAACTCGCCGTGTTTGGAGGAGGAGGAATGCTGCCTATGACCCCAAGAACACCATCCCCACCGTCAAACATGGAGGTGGAAACCTTATGCTTTGGGGGTGTTTTTCTGCAAAGGGGACAGGACAACTTCACCGCATCAAAGGGACGATGGACGGGGCCATGTACCGTCAAATCTTGGGTGAGAACCTCCTTCCCTCAGCCAGGGCATTGAAAATGGATGGTGTGGATGGGTATTCCAGCATGACAATGACCCAAAACACACGGCCAAGGCAACAAAGGAGTGGCTCAAGAAGAAGCACATTAAGGTCCTGGAGTGGCCTAGCCAGTCTCCAGACCTTAATCCCATAGAAAATCTGTGGAGGGAGCTGAAGGTTCGAGTTGCCAAACGTCAGCCTCGAAACCTTAATGACTTGGAGAAGATCTGCAAAGAGGAGTGGGACAAAATCCCTCCTGAGATGTGTGCAAACCTGGTGGCCAACTACAAGAAACGTCTGACCTCTGATTGCCAACAAGGGTTTTGCCACCAAGTACTAAGTCATGTTTTGTAGAGGGGTCAAATACTTATTTCCCTCATTAAAATGCAAATCAAGTTATAACATTTTTGACACGCGTTCTTCTTGATTTTTTGGTTGTTATTCTGTCTCTCACTGTTCAAATAAACCTACCATTAAAATTATAGACTGATCAGGTCTTTGTCAGTGGGCAAATGTACAAAATCAGCAGGGTATCAAATACTTTTTTCCCTCACTGTATGCAGTACAGCACACCATAGATTTGATTCGATGACAAAGTCCTCATCTCAGGTGCAGATGCGTCTGATGCGTAAGAATTGGCTGTATGGCAAGCCTCTCTTCAAAGAGTCAGGATGGTAGCTAGATGCATGAACAAGGCTATTTTTGTCCATAGGTTTGACATAAATATGCATCCAAGCCGAACAGAAATATTATCAGAAACATGTTTGGTCATTTTCACAGCTTTTAATTCCCCTAAAACCGGTCAAACTGATGTCATTTGGAAATTTTGCACAGAAGATTTTTGCCATTATTGCCGAGTTAGGCCTATTGCATTTTTTAACTATCTTGGTCCTTAAAATGTCTGCTGCGCAAGAGAAGCAGAGATGAGAGAACTTTACCGATGTCAACTAGATTTAAACTTTCATCGATTTATGACATTCTGGTGAGCAATGGTTTATGTGGTCTTCTAGGGCAGTAATGACAGAAGAGATCTTCATGTATCTAATTATAGACAAATCGACTAACAAATAGCCTACCAAAATGTTGGAAATTATAAGCAGAAACATAAAAAAAAGAAATCCCGCACCCTCTGTCAAGCAATCGTTCCGCCTTCTCTGACCGTACAGCTTACTTTCTATCGGCCTATTTGTGGGTTAGGGTCAGGCTGTGAATGGGTTATTAGCAGTTGCGGGCGGGTGTGGGTGAACAAACAGCTGACCAGAGCATCACTAGTGTGTGTGTGTGTGTGTCAGGCTTGCTCACATAACTGAACCCATATGGTTGGCTTTCATTTACTATGCTGGATGCCAGAAACCCTAATGTGAATATTATGACTGTCCGCTGCATGTCTGTGTGGTGTTCTATCTCTGAACTTTCACAGACACTGACAACAAAGTAACCTAAACAAATTACACAGTACAGCAGACCCTTCTAAATGTTTCTGACAGTTGAATGGGACTGAGATAACCAATCACTCCTCCTGTGTGTGTCCTCTTTGGGGGGGCGGGGAGAGTTGTAGAAAAGGTTAAAGGGATGGTGGGATCTAACTGAAGCAACACACACAACTCATTTGCTTGAGGAGGCTTTGTGAATGAGTACAAGAGTGTTTACATGATTAGTGTGTGAGAAAGTGGAACAGCGAGTGTGTGAGTTTGAGGGTGTAGCGTGACAGTTGAGCAACACAGACCTCCACTCTGTCCCTCAGGGGAAGAGGGGCCTCATGCTTCTGGCTTCAACTTGAACCAGAATGAAAAACACTGTCCTTTTCCCAGCATGTCTTTCCCCAGAAATAACAAAAGGCTGAGCCAGAGAACAGACACATTAAACTCAGACATTGCACGGTCACAACCTATTAGTTATGATACACTATCTACCTATCTTTACAGTTTGGATCCATAGAGTAATGAGCCACTACTCACCAATTACACTACATCACATATTTCCCAAAGAGATTGTACAATCTCACTCAGGAGTCCCCTGTGCTGTGAAAAACTGTCATTACGTTGTCATTACATAATTTACTCCGTCTGGTGATGTCATTGTTGTTGAACTGTTTCTTTTGATGCTTTGTCACTTTAAACCCAGAGATTATGTCATTCAACTGGAGCATTTACTGAAGGGCCTCCCTTAGGAACTCATTCTCATAGAAAGACACTGGTCTGGGACCAGTCTCCTAAACATACCTCTCTGAAACAATCATTCCCTTAGAGTAGGGTTGCAAAATTCTGGTAACTTTCCCAAAACTACCTAGTTTTTCTGAAATCCTGGTTGGAAGATTCCTCGAATTACGAGGGAATAAGCAGGAAATCTGGGAATCCTCCAACCAGGATTTCTGGAGAGAACAAAAAGTGAATGAATAGAAACCAAACACTTTGAGGTCAGCGTAAGAATAGAATTGGGGTGGAATGTGTGAGTTTAAAAAAAAGTAAATTCACTTCCCTGAGTTACTTTTTCCAATTCCACGCCTGGGCAGAGGACAAGAGCGCTAGGTGGGGAGGCATGCCCCGCCTGTACAATTGTAGGGGAAACACTGCTCTGTGTCTGAAGTCTCTGGTTGAATATTAACATCTCAGCATCATTACAAACACATGCTGGTTCTGTAGTAGCACGGTAGACACTGAGGTGGTGTTGCTGTCAATAGTGTCCCTGCTGCAACACATAACAATACTATTGTTACAAAGTTAACCCCTTAACTTCCTCTCTCCATCCACAGTGGGACTGCCCCTGGCAGCCCTTAAATTGGGCCAAATCAAGCCCTATCAGAGGGGCTTTTTCTGTAACGATGACAGCATCAGCTACCCCTTCCACCACAGCACAATCACCTCCAATGTGCTCTACGGTTTGGGCTTCACTTTGCCCATTTGCTCTGTAAGTAAGAATGGAAGAGTTGACAAAACAAAATATTTCTTACATTTGTACTGACCAAAAATTGAACAGCTGGCTTAGAGTACATTATAATGACCAATGGACAGCTGTTACTACATATACAGCACTACACAATGACTAACAAACAGGGAGCTGTTCGTTCTAAGTTGACAGTTACACTTATTGATACCATACACAAAGTTATTTAGTTAAATGCCTGGTCATGATGCGTATCTTATCTGTAAAGCTTCAACATTAGGGAGGATGTCCACTGAGTTTAGGGGTTCAATTCAGCAAGGCCATAACCAGTAAGCAAAACAAATTGATATGATGCCATTTACAACCACATTACAACCATATAAACAGGTTGTAAGGATGTAATTTCAACCAGATTATAACCATATAAACTGATTATAATGATGTGATTTCAACCAGCTTTGCCAACCAGGTAAGGGTTAACTCAAAAAGAGGATGCCCAGTCCACAAAGTGTCCCCATTCCCCTTTCACATATCCCCCATGTCATTTCAATCACCCCACCCCAATAGAGTATTTCATTTGCACATATCCTGATACCCGCCTGTCATTTCAGTCACTTCTGAAGCTTGTGTTGTGAAAGCTTCTCGGAAGTTGTTGGGTCATTTGTGGTTTTCATCAATAGTAGGACTTTAGAGTCCAACCGATAAGTAAGGAAGTAGAAAGTAGGAAGTGCTGATGTTAGTTTGGCCACTGAATATCACAGAGCATGAGTTCAGCAGATCTGAGAAGACCTAGCAACCCTGTGGTCAAACTGTTTATTTTGTTACCCTGTTAACTAGGCTGTTCAAACTGGATTTAGAACATATCACTTATTCTGACTTTGGCCATAGATGCAATCATAAATCATTGATCCTACCATTTATTTTTTAACAGTAATTAGATTAGATTACATTTCGACATGTCTGTTATTGAGCGTTGAATGTAGAGATGTTATTGAAACTTGAGGGTCCTGTTGATAGGCTTTGGAACAAACACAGGCTACTTTCTCTGTCCAAAAATAACTGGAATAGTTTCCTGGAACACTGATTTGACTAGGTTGATAGATTCTATTTGAAGAATGACAGAGACAGAAGTGTTGGCCCACTGTGTTCCCTTTGTGTGTTTGTGTGTTACTTAGGAAAGCATGTGTCCACTACTAGCTATTGTGGCCTATCCAGTGTTGAGGTCAGAAGTTCAGCCGGTGTGCGTGTAGTGTTGGTGACTGATCCCTCTTCCTGGCCTTTACTGTGATGAAAACCTTAAATCCCCTCCTACACACACACACTCACTGACTCACACACACTAGACTTTTGTTTTTCATAAACTATGTCTATTCCATTATAATTCACTGGAGTGCCATACACAACACTGCTGTTACATCTTTTTAACTATCTCAACTCCAGTCTATTCATGGTTTAAACGGATTTATTTCTCCATACATCAACATGTCGCGTGGCAACCTTTAAAACTGTGGTGCTTCACAATGCAGCTTTCACAGAATAAAGAAAAGGGGTGTGGCTAGCGAGAGTGAATCTGTCACCTGAGTTTCTCCTCTCAGTCCTTGACAGCCAGACTGTGCTGGGGTCCTTTTTGATGTCAGCAGTATGATCTAACCATGATAATGTCAACAAATACAACCCCTTTATTCAGCTATGGAGAAGATTTGCATACTAATGTGAACTAATCTCAACCTTTTTACGCATCCAGTTTCTACTTTCCTTGGGTCAATGTGTGTCATAGAGCTTGCAGTGTGCGATTTGATGTTTTACTAACTACGGTTTTGTGTTTACTGCTAATTACTAATGATTGCTTCCACAGCACGTTTAAAGTATACAGTTTCACTACTGTATGTAGTAGTGTGAAACTCTATTTTGAAGTTTCTAATGTAACTAACATGAACACCCGGTGAATCTTCCTGAAAAAGCATTCCACAGAGTTACTTCCAACATGATAACCCACTGTGCTTTAAGGAACCCAGGGAAAGAGAGAGGAACAGTGAGAGAGAGATTTCACTTGCTTTGGCAATGTAAACATATGTTTCCATGCCAATAAAGCCCCTTGAATTGAATTGAGAGCAGAGAGAGGGCAGAGCAGAGAGAGGAGAGAGGGCAGAGAGGGCAGAGAGAGGAGAGAGAGAGCAGAGAGGGCAGAGAGAAAGAGCAGAGAGGAGAGATCAGAGAGAGGGCAGAGAGATCAGAGAGAGGGCAGAGGGAGCAGAGAGATCAGAGAGAGGGCAGAGGGAGCAGAGAGATCAGAGAGATCAGAGAGGGCAGAGAGGGGAGAGAGAGGAAACAGAGCGGAGAGGGCAGAGAGGGCAGGGAGAGCAGAGAGGGCAGGGATAGAAGAGAGAAGAGAGTGCAGAGAGGATAGAGAGCAGAGAGAGACGAGAGAGCAGAGAGGGCAGAGAGGAGAGAGAGGAAACAGAGCAGAGAGGAGAGAGAGAGGGCAGAGAGGGAAGGGAGAGCAGAGAGGGCAGGGATAGAGGAGAGGGCAGAGGGTATAGAGAGCAGAGAGAGGAGAGAGAACAGAGGGCAGAGAGAAAGAGCAGAGAGGAGACAGAGAGAGGGCAGAGAGATCAGAGAGAGGGCAGAGGGAGCAGAGAGATCAGAGAGAGGGCAGAGGGAGCAGAGAGATCAGAGAGATCAGAGAGGGCAGAGAGGGGAGAGAGAGGAAACAGAGCGGAGAGGGCAGAGAGAGCAGAGAGGGCAGGGAGAGCAGAGAGGGCAGGGATAGAGGAGAGGGCAGAGGGGATAGAGAGCAGAGAGAGGAGAGAGAACAGAGGGCAGAGAGAAAGAGCAGAGAGGAGAGATCAGAGAGAGGGCAAAGAGATCAGAGAGAGGGCAGAGGGAGCAGAGAGATCAGAGAGAGGGCAGAGAGATCAGAGAGAGGGCAGAGGGAGCAGAGAGATCAGAGAGAGGGCAGAGAGATCAGAGAGAGGGCAGAGAGAGGAGAGATCGGAGAGAGATCAGAGAGAGCGGAGAGATCGGAGAGAGATCAGAGAGAGCGGAGGAAGATCAGAGAGAGAGCACTATTGTGGGTCGTTGTGGAATGGACATCTAGGCCTACTTGTGGATTGCATGTCCACTGCACTGTGCACTCAAGCACGAAACAGCTTCTCTTCACCAGGGGAGCAAGTAGTGTTTGTTCCCATGAGAACTCTCTTTAGCCACCATGTTGTTGCTTTTTTCCCTCCTGTTCCTGACAGCCTGCGATGTTTAAAATGTCTACTTAGATATAATAAATGCCACTTAGCAGATTATTTTATCCAAAGTGACTTACAGTCATGCGTACACACATTTTACATATTGGTGGCCACGGGATTCAAACCCATAACCCTGGCGACGCAAGATCCATGCTCTACCAACTGAGCCATACAGGACCACTACAGTATATGTCTTGACTTTCCTCTCTGAATGTTCTCTTCCGCTCAGTGTTAGACGGGTGTGCGCTGTGCAGTGGATCTATATGGATGTTAAGGAAGGTGTTTACAGCCCGCTCTCCTAACCTACTCCTCCTGTTCTGTTCTCTTTCATTTGCTTTTTGCTAGCTGGACTCCCATTTGCAATACTCACACCACTACACAATCCCTTCAAACGGGGATTTTTCTGTAACGATGATTCAATCAAGTACCCTCTTAAAGAAGACACCATATCCTATGAGTTGTTAGGTGGAGTTATGATACCCGTCACAGTACTCACTGTAAGTGCACCTGTTTTATGTTCACTAGTTAACTCATCTCTCTCTCTCTTCCCTTCCTACTCTTAGTGCTTAACATTCATTTAGGCTAAACATGCATACTTGTACAAATGTCTAGTTTAACTGCAATCATTCATTGTATTGTCTAATAATAACACTGTCTGTATGAAAAATAACAAAACATCAACCAAACAAACAGAGTTGTAAGAACTTCCTATTTTCCTCAAAGTATCACGAGAACTGAAAAACCAAACCAAACCCCAACCCCTGTTAGTTACTTCTCTATGTACTCACAGACCAGAAATGTATCAGACCATGGTGGTTGACCTTTAAAGTCTCTGAAACAAAGGCCTCTCCATAAGCCTACTCATAGTCTCCATCTCCCGCTTGACTCTTGGCCAGTATTCCACTGACCGTCTTAGTAAATATCCTTGACAGTTTCTATAGTCAAACTCAAAGCACAGAGGCCTGTATTCATAAAGCGTCTCAGAGTAGGAGTGCTGATCCAGGATCAGATCCCCCCTGTCCACATAATATTATTCATAAAAACAAAACTGATCCTATCTCAGCACTCCTACTCTGAGATGAGGCACTTTAGGAGCCTTGTTGTGGCTGTTATCAAGTCTTACAAAGGGCTTTTGCAGCATTCACATTCCAAAAAGACGTTTTTGTTCCAATACATTTACATAAATTCACCTCCCATGGTCCGCACACATTTCCAGTCAGTCAGTGTAATTGTACTCTGCAAGTAGAAACCCACACACCGGATGGAACTCATTTACGCGTCATGAATTACCCTTGATGTTTGAACAGTTGGGCTTCAACAGAAACCGTTATCAGGACATACCACCCCCTTGAGAGTGTAGAGTACAGCAGTAAGCGTATGTTCATATTGTAGTCGTAGGCCTATTTCCAGATAGGGGAATGTAAATACACTTCCAGATAACTTCTCATGCTTCCAGGTAGAGATGTAAGCCAGACAGTTGTCCACAATAACCACATCCACTTATTTACTAGAACACAACATTTAAAAAAAGACCCCCTTCCCCAACCCACCCACAATGTTTCCATGACGTATGTTTATTGCACTCAACATGATCTCAAAATCGTTTCTACCGTTGACACACATCTGACCACAAATTGCTAAATCTTCTAAAGTAACAGGTTAAGTTTGACCACTCAGGTTTGACTGAGAAGCTGCATTGTGATGCACCAGTGTTTGTTTTCCCTTTTCAAAAAGGTCTTTACTCATTTGACTTTACACACGTTTCTCAGTGGACATCCTTGTTTGGCCTTTATAGTCACTCAGATGGACATTCCTCTAAAATGCCAGGGTCTATTTTACTTAAAGGGCCAGTGCAGTCAAAAACGTGATTTTGCTGTGTTTTATATACATTTCCACACTGAGGTTAGAATAATTATGTGAAATTGTAAAAATTATAATGCCCTTTTAGTGTAAGAGCTGTTTGAAAAGACCACCTGAAATTTCTGCCAATTTTGGTGGGAGGGGGTTTTGGCCTTCCATGGTGACATCACCATGCAGTAAATGTATTAATAGACCAATAAGAAAGAGTTCCAAACCTCGGCCAACAGCAGCTCATTTTCAGTTTTCCCCTCCCCACTCAAACCACTCTGAGACAGTCCTAGCAAAATTCTTCCTTGAGAAATTGCTCTTTGCTAAGAAGCTATTTTTGACCATTTTAGCTGCAAACAATCACAGGAAGGTACTCAATTGTTACTCTGAAATGAATTGATATTGAGATGAAAACAGCTGCATTGGACCTTTGAAATTCCTGTAATTTTAGTGACTGACTTGCCAGTTGTAATCCTGTAACTGCAAGCTGTGAGTGACCTAACCTCTGCACCTGTCTACCTCCTCCCTTCCTCACAGATGGTCTTTGGAGAGTGCCTTTCGGTCTATCTCAAACGCATCAAATCAAAGTCCTCTTTCAGCAACATGTATGTGGCCTGTGTTTACAAAGCCATCGGCACATTCGTGTTCGGGGCAGCCATGAGCCAATCGCTCACTGACATCGCCAAGTATTCGATTGGCCGGCTCCGACCCCACTTCCTGGACGTGTGCAAGCCCGACTGGAAGCTGATCAACTGCACGGCCGGCACCTACATAGAGGACTTTACCTGCACAGGGAACGAACGCATGGCCAATGAGGGCAGGTGGGTGTTGAGGGGAAACTGACAGTTGGGCCCAATTCGCTCCCTACCCCTTGGCCCCCTATCCCTTCAGTGTTCACAGATCTGAAGGGTATACGGCAGATCTGAAGACTCTGGAAAGGTATAAGCAGTGACTTGGTGGAGCTTCCACTATATGCCTTACAGATATGCAAACATCAAAGGGAGGGGTAGGGAACTATTTGTGACTGGCCGGGATGCTTCTTACAAATCTACTGACTGAATTATGACATCATCCATCAACTGAAATATAATATATCCTGTTGTATTGTTTATTATTATCCAGGCTCTGTCGTAGCCGGCGCGACCGGGAGACCCATGGGGCGGCGCGCAATTGGCCCAGCGTCGTCCAGGGTAGGGGAGGGAATGTCCGGCAGGGATGTAGCTCAGTTGATAGAGCATGGCGTTTGTAACGCCAGGGTTGTGGGTTCGATTCCTACAGGGGGTAGGAAAAAATGTATGCATTCACTAACTGTAAGTCGCTCTGGATAAGAGCGTCTGCTAAATGACTAAAATGTAAATGTAAAAAAATTATGGTCAGATAATATGCTGAGTGCTGACCATGAGATAATTGTTAAGAAAGGCAAGCCCACACTGAGGTTTCTGGCTGCGTTAGTGTTGAGAGAATGCCACAGTACTGAAGTGGACACTAGTTAATGTTGAGAGAATGCTACAGTACTGAAGTGGACACTAGTTAGTGTTGGGAGAGAGCCACAGTACTGAAGTGGACACTAGTCAGTGTTGGGAGAGAGCCTGACCATGCTGATCCAAATATCCTCAGTACTGTAACATAATCCACCAGCCTAATGTCAAAACAATAAAGACCTGTATACCGCTATTCTGGTGGACAAGGCTGAAGACACAGAAGTTCAGCCAGATATCACACAGAGAGAGAGCCAAGAGAGCTCCAAGTCGACCTCACTATTTAATTCAATTATTACATAGAACACACACACAAGCCAAGGCTCTGGCTGATGGTGGGCCTCATGTCCCTTAGGGAAATGCTAACATTGCAGAAAGATGATCTGTAGGTTATTCTGACCTGCTCTCTTCACTCGGTCCACCAGGCAGGTGTTTGTTCTATTAATGACTACCATACCAAAGAAAACACCCAGAGCCGGGCCCGAGCCAGGGAAGGGCTGCCATGGGAGACCAGAGCCACACCCAGGTAAATATGACCTTCTGGGGCCACAAGAGACTGGGAGAGCCCACCCAGGGATCATGGTAGAGATTAGGGTAGTCTCTGTATAGGTTATACTCAGGTTTCTAGGCTAACACAGGAGAGGTTCACCACATGACCATGAGGTAATGACAGTCTACAGATAGGAAGGCAGACAGTCAGACAGCTGTCTCACACCACAGCCAAAATGATAGTCTGTATAGAGACCGCTAGCTAGCTAACTATCGCCCACCACAGCCAATAACAGTAAGGTATGTCTAAGGGTGGGCCAGACCAGCAGGCACTCGACAACTAGCTCTTGTTTGTTGTTGCTCTATAAATAGAAAATCCTGGATGTTGATTTCAAAACTAAAATAAGGACTGAGACTTCCTCTCCTGTGTACATCCGTCGGTTTTCGAGTAGATCTTGTCAGATTAAATTTAGAGTGACCTGGTTTTACTGAATTTGGTTAGCGCCTCATCTGATACTGACAATTGACCTTGGTCTCCATGATGAGTATGCTTGGAAGCCAGCTTTAAGTGAAAGCTCAGAGAGGCCGAGCAGACCTCGGAAGGAACTTCCAAACTCAGACCTAAGGGCAACAGAAAGGCAAACCAAGGTAAAACCAGGCTTCCTAGTCCAGTGTATTTAGGGCAATCCCAGGCTTCCCAGTACAATGTCAAAGGAGATAGAGGCTATGGGCCTGCCTCTGTTTATTAGAGAGGCTATGGGCCTACCTCTGTTTATTAGAGAGGCTATAGGCCTGCCTCTGTTTATTAGAGAGGCTATGGGCCTGCCTCTGTTTATTAGAGAGGCCTGCCTCTGTTTATTAGAGAGGCTATGGGCCTGCCTCTGTTTATTAGAGAGGCTATGGGCCTACCTCTGTTTATTAGAGCGGCTATGGGCCTACCTTTTTATTCCAGTTTGGCCTTTACTCCCACACTTATTGATGTGGAATTGTGAAACAAAGGAGCTCAGAGAGAGCTGAAGTCATTTACCCTGATAAGCAGCCAGCCTAGCTATCAGTGTATGACACTATGTGGCTCTCCCAACACTAACTAGTGTCCACTTCAGTACAGTGGCTCTCTCAACACTAACTAGTGTCCACTTCAGTACTGTGGCTTTCTCTAAACACTAACTAGTGTCCACTTCAGTACAGTGGCTCTCTCAACACTAACTAGTGTCCACTTCAGTAATGTGGCTTTCTCTCAACACTAACTAGTGTCCACTTCAGTAATGTGGCTTTCTCCCAACACTGACTAGTGTCCACTTCAGTACTGTGGCTCTCCCAACACTAACTAGTGTCCACTTCAGTACAGTGGCTCTCCCAACACTAACTAGTGTCCACTTCAGTACAGTGGCTCTCTCAACACTAACTAGTGTCCACTTCAGTAATGTGGCTTTCTCTCAACACTAACTAGTGTCCACTTCAGTACTGTGGCTTTCTCTCAACACTAATTAGTGTCCACTTCAGGACCGGGCCCCAGGGCAGACCAGAGTGTTAAGTGTCTGTGGGCCTGCAGACCAGAGTGTTAAGTGTCTGTGGGCCTGCAGCTCTCCCCAGTGTTTATATCAGCCGCTGGTTATCAGTCATCTGCTGGACGGGCGGATGCCCTCGCTGGGCAGTTCAGCACTGCTTAAGTAAACAGGAAGACACTAAAGCTGGCCGGAAAAGTGAGCTAGGGTATCGGCCCTCTAACTGCCCTGACCAGCCAGGCTGACTGTCACTGTCTCAACATCCAACATCCCCCCAATAACAGACGTCAACGGACGTCCCTCCAAGCTCTCCAGCACAACCCTATCACCCGGAAAAGGGTGTGTGTCACAGTTGAGCCCCTCTGTGTGTATGTGTTTATGTTATTCAATGGAACAATAGGGATAATCTATCACCAACGCAGAGCCAATTGAAGTGGATGCTGAATTATTTCCCAGCATTTTTTCCCAGCATTCAAAGTTCCCACAGCCACCACAGCAATCCCATGATGCCATTGTTGTTGTTGTGTTGCAGGCTGTCCTTCTACTCTGGCCACTCCTCCTTCTCCATGTACTGCATGCTGTTCCTGGCAGTAAGTATCCACTATGTGGTTTTCTCAAAGGGCAAATATGTGCACTCACTGATAGGGCATGTATAAGATTCACATTATAAACTGGGTGGTTCGAGCCCTGAATGCTGATTGGCTGAAAGCCGTGGTATATCCGACATTATTAACTGGGTGGTTAAAGCCCTGAATGCTGATTGGCTGACAGCCGTGGTATAGCAGACCGTATGCCACGGGTATGACAAAACATTTATTTTTACTGCTCTAATTAGGTTGTTAACCTGTTTATAAAAGCAATAAGGCACCTCAGGGGTTTGTGATATATGGCCAATATACCACAGCTAAGGGCTGTATCCAGGCACTCCGCGTTGCGCCTAAGAACAGCCCTTAGCCGTGGTGTATTGGCCATATACCACACCCCCTCGTGCCTTATTGCTTAATTAGAGACCAACTGAGTTTACGTCAAGGTCATTACAGCACAAAGACATGCAGAGAATATTTATAGAAGACCTACCATTGCATACATAGAATACTCAAAATGCAGCAAAACATATCAGTACACTGTGTTCAAATCAAATGTTATTTGTCACATGCCCTTAACCAAAAATGCAGTTAAGAAAATAGTTAAGAAAATATTTACTAAATAAACTGAAGTAAAAAAAAGTAACAATAAAATAACAATAACAAGGCTATATACAGGGGGTACCTGTACCGAATCAATGTGCGGGGGTACAGGTTAGTCGATTGTAATTGAGGTAATTTGTACGTGTAGGTAGGGGTAAAGTGACTATGCATAGATAATAAACAGCAGTGTAAAAACAAAGGGGGTGGGGTCGTGTTAATCTTTACTGGGGTGCAGACAGTGTAACGTTGGTTAGGCAGCTCTGAATGGTCGACAGTGTATTGTAGGGCTCTATTCAATATGTAGTGCTAAAGATCTGCTTCATAGCGCGATTGACAATTAAAGGCAATTTTCCCACAGTCGTGGAGACTGCATTATAGGTACACACTGCATATGTCGGTTCAATCGAAAATTACCTTTAAATGTTTACGCAGATCTTCCGCGATACTCGCAGATCTTCCGCGAGGTCTCTGACTCCCGACCACAACAGAGAACACGAGGGTCTATTTAGAGTGTTATCTTAGAAACAGGATTCCCGAACGGACCAGAGGACAATCAGACCCAGACGGACCCGATTTATATTTTTTTAAACGGGGACCCCGGACACAAATGGACCCGAGGACAATCAGACCCGATTGGAACTGAGTGCCAAACAAAAAAATGTGTTTATCAGCCAAGTTGCTCTTCTGGCTAACGAATAGGTCTTTATACTGTATGTTGGCTAGGAGTTCTATAAGTAAATAAATACAGTTGGGGGAAAAAGTATTTAGTCAGCCACCAATTGTGCAAGTTCTCCCACTTAAAAAGATGAGAGAGGCCTGTAATTTTCATCATAGGTACACGTCAACTATGACAGACAAAATGAGAAAAAAATTTCCAGAAAATCACATTGTAGGATTTTTTTATGAATTTATTTGCAAATTATGGTGGAAAATAAGTATTTGGTCAATAACAAAAGTTTCTCAATACTTTGTTATATACCCTTTGTTGGCAATGACACAGGTCAAACGTTTTCTGTAAGTCTTCACAAGGTTTTCACACACTGTTGCTGGTATTTTGGCCCATTCCTCCATGCAGATCTCCTCTAGAGCAGTGATGTTTTGGGGCTGTCGCTGGGCAACACAGACTTTCAACTCCCTCCAAAGATTTTCTATGGGGTTGAGATCTGGAGACTGGCTAGGCCACTCCAGGACCTTGAAATGCTTCTTACGAAGCCACTCCTTCGTTGCCCGGGCGGTGTGTTTGGGATCATTGTCATGCTGAAAGACCCAGCCACGTTTTATCTTCAATGCCCTTGCTGATGGAAGGAGGTTTTCACTCAAAATCTCACGATACATGGCCCCATTCATTCTTTCCTTTACACCAGGGGTGTCAAACGTCCGGCCCGCGGGCCGGATCAGGCCCGCAAACGGGTTTAATCCGGCCCGCGAGATGATTTTTTTATTTTTTTTTTAAATAACAAAAAAAAAAAAAACGTTTGTAAAGTATAAAAATGCGCTGCAATTTTTCAATAAAATAAACTGCTGTTCCAATTGCGTCCACTGGATGGCGCAATAGCAATTGTGTTAAGCAAGCAAACTGTTTATACCGGGGCAGAGCAAGTAGGTCAAGCACGTGCAGCCAATGAGCTACTTTGTTTTGCCCGCGATATTTATTACGGCTTCTACTTTTAACATTATGTGCTTTGGCACCCTCATTGCCCCAATATGTCTCTGTCAAAAAAGAGAAAAGTGGACGCAGAGTGTTCCAAGAAAAATGGTCATCCTATTTATTCACGGAATTGAATGGGAAAGCTGTATGTTTGGTGTGTTCAAAGCATGTTGCAGTGCTGAAAGAATATAACCTTCGTCGCCACTATGTGAGTCTTCATGCCGACAAATATGACAACTTTCAAGGACAGCGGAGATGAGAGAAGGTGAATGAACTGTTGGCGGGTCTGAAGAAACAGCAGTCTGTGTTTACTCACAGCCGAGACATCAGTGACGCTGCAGTGAAAGCTAGCTACCTCATTGCTAATGAAATCGCAGTGGCTTCAAAACCATTTAGTGAGGGTGAATTTGTAAAAACATGCATGATGAAGGCAGCAGAGATTGTGTGCCCTGAAAAGCGGCAGGCTTTTGCAAATATCAGCCTGACAAGAAACACAGTTGTGGACAGGATTTCTGATCTTTCAGTGGATTTGGACAGCCAGTTGAAGCAAAAAGTAAAGTCATTTATTGCGTTTTCGGTTGCAATCGATGAAAGCACGGACATTACAGATGTTGCACAACTGGCCATTTTCATCCGCGGAGTTGATGACACATTGACCGTCACCGAGGAGTTCGTGGAGTTGGTGCCGATGACAGATACAACAACAGCAGCTGATATTTTTACCGCACTCGTCGGCGCGCTGGACAGGGTCGGAGTGGACTGGTCCCACGCTGTCAGCCTGGCTACAGATGGTGCGCCCTCAATGATCGGGAAAAAAGCAGGCGTTGTGACAAAGTTCAGAGAGAAAGTGCAATCTGCAAATGGAGGACGTGATTTTTTGACTTTTCACTGTATTTTGCACCAGGAGGCTTTGTGTTGCAAGTCATTAAAGATGGATAACGTCATGAAGGTGGTCATCCAAACTGTTAATTTCATCCGATCCAGAAGCCTGAATCACCGTCAGTTTGACAGCCTTCTCAGAGAGAAAGACCACATCTATGGCCTGCCATACCACACTGAGGTAAGATGGTTAAGCCGAGGTGCTGTGCTGAGGCGTTTCTTTGATTTACGAGAAGAAATTGAACAGTTCATGGAAGAAAAGGGCAAACCAGTGTTAGAATTTCATTCCGCAGAATGGATGCAGGACCTTGCATTTATGGTGGATGTTACAGAGCACCTGAATAACTTGAACAAACAGCTGCAAGGGCGCAACAAAGTTGTCACGCAGTATTATGACAGCATACGTTCTTTCAAGTTGAAGCTGTCATTGTGGGAGACGCAACTTGCCGGTGGTGATGCAGCTCACTTCCCCTGTCTGAAAAATGTGTGCGCGACCCAACATGTGGCAGACATGAAGCGGTTCAAAGATAAAATAACGGGACTGTTACGGGAGTTTGAGCAACGCTTTCAGATTTATGTTTATATGTTTTTATGTTGATGTGCTATTGTTTTTAATTGTTTTTATTTTATTTGTATATTTAACCAATTCTTGACTCTGTGGTTCTTGCACTTGTTTGGAGAACAGGATTTCATTATTTTTATCTACATTTCTGCCTGAGAAATGACACCCTGATATAGTTCTGTGATCTGTGATATACTTCTGTGAATCACTGAGGCATTGTGTGTTTGTGTGTTCTTTGTCCTCAGAACTTTCAAATAACTTGAGGTGTTTTATGATTAATAGTGATGTTGTGCTTTTGGACACTGTCCTCAGGCTCCAGCTTTATATGTTTTTATGTTGATGTGCTATTGTTTTTAATTTATTTTATTTTATTTGTATATTTAACCTATTCTTGACTCTGTGGTTCTTGCACTTGTTTGGGGAACAGGATTTCATTATTTTTATCTACATTTCTGCCTGAGAAATGACACCCTGATATAGTTCTGTGATCTGTGAAACAGTTCTGTTAATCACTGAGGCATTGTGTGTTTGTGTGTTCTTTTTCTTTAGAATTTTCAAATAAACTTGACGTGTTTTATGATTAATAGTGATGTTGTGCTTGTACTATTTTGGACACACTGTCCTCAGGCTCCAGCTTTATGTTGTATGTTGATCGTATTAAAACAAAGAAAACAATCTGAAGTTGTTGTTTTTAAGTTATATATACACCATGATTTTTCCGGTCCGGCCCACTTGGGAATAGATTTTCCTCCATGTGGCCCCTGAGCTAAAATGAGTTTGACACCCCTGCTTTACACGGATCAGTCGTCCTGGTCCCTTTGCAGAAAAACAGCCCCAAAGCATGATGTTTCCACCCCCATGCTTCACAGTAGGTATGGTGTTCTTTGGAT